GAAAGTCAGCAGCTATGTTAAATGTGCTTTTGAAAACAATATACACTTTTTTGAAATCTTGCATAGTTAAGAAAAGTATGTTTTAACAGAAGAATTACGTTTTATTTTTGGCCACTATAGCATATAATAATATACATATAAGTGTACATAAATATTAGGTTGAATTAAAAGTAAACTTCTCACTATCCAAATAAGCTCACACAACTATCCTTCACCACAGCATAATTTAATTACAACAAAAAATCATTTTTCAAAATTTAAACTATCAGTTACGCTAAATTTTTTATTTCAATAAATGCATTAAGACATTTTTTACTGTACATTTTCGTTTTCAAAGATAAAAAATCTTAATGAAAAAAAAATCACAATTTAAGGGAAAAAAATATAATCAAAATCTGCATGTATGTTTAAAATACCTGTTGCTTTCCTTACATTAAAGAGTTTCTTAACAAGGAATCTAGTATAAAATACTAATGGTATTTTTCGTAAGTATACAAAAACGCTAAATAATTATGTAATTCTTAAAAATATAGCATAAGCTAGAGAAACTGAAGTATTGAAAAAAATTAATAGATTTAAAAATTAATAACCGTAAAAAAAAAAAAAAACGCTAAACAAGCTAACAATGTTTTTCAAAATATAGTAGATATCCCCATTGGCAGAATATCTCGGCGACATTGTTACAGAGTTCATGTAGAAAGAATTTCTCTTTAGAAAGTAAAAAATATTGGTTTTCTTTTCCGCAAACATTTCGAATTTTTTTTCTTCTCTAAAATTACATGTAAAAGATGCCTTTTTTGAGCATCGGAGGGGAAAGAAATGTTCTTCATTTTTCGATTCTTATTTGAGAAGAATGAAACATAAAGGACATTGAAGCAAAAATTTCTTTTCCATAGAAATGTTTGAAAGATTTTTTTTCCTTCCACAATTATACTCAAGAGATATCATTTTCACGCATCAGAGGGGAAGAAATGCTCCTGATTTTGTTATTATTTTCTTTTGAGAAAAAAAATTTTTTTTTGGTTTTCTTTTCTTTTTACTGAGTTTTAATTATTATTATTTTTTTATGTGATGGTGATTCATGAAATGCGAAAAAAGAAATAATGATTGCGTTTTCCTCCTACAAAATTTGAGACTATCGCCCATGATATTAGAATAAAAAAATATTACATATTCATTTTTTTAAAAAAAAATACATACAATTTAAGCATATCCAAATAGGCTTTTCTTTGTCATTACAACGTTTCTGTTACTTTAAATTTAGTGAATAACATGCATATTAGTTACTATTAAAAGTACAGGGCATCTGCTACGTTTTAGATTTTCAAATTCATCACTTTCCCTGACTCATTCCCAGAACTTTTCATGACTTAACGAAGTTACTATTTTCTCTGACAAAAACAGAATAATAAATTTAAAAAGTATTATAATACCGTTAATTGAAATGATAGGTATTACCAAAACTGTTATACTCTGCATCCTCATATTTATAGATTTTAATTTAAAAAAACAGAGTATAGAGAGAGTTGAAGCAATAAAATAGCTGAAAAAAATACAAAAGCAAATAATTTCCTCCCCTTTTTCTTCTGCAGAATTATATTCTAAAGATACCTTTCCTGTTCATCAGAAAGGAAAGAAATACTCCTGATTTTTCTGTTCTCATTTCGGATAAAAAATTTTTTGCAAATGACTGGTTTGCTTCAACTAGAATTTTAAATTGATAAAATTAAAAAAAATAAATAATAAAAATTCTTAAATCGCAGAAGTTTAAAAGATAATTCGCTCTAGAAATGATATTTTTTCTTTCCTTTTTTTGAAACAACATCATAATTTTTAAAGAACATGATAAAATCATCTTATATTCTAATAAAATATGACTGAGCAGTGATTTTGTTAGGAATTCAGATATTTGGAACAGGATGAAATTGGGGGGAAGGATTCCATTTTAAAAATTAGATTTTTTGGAGACCTAAATCTATGATTTTCCATGATTTTTTTAAAAAAAATAGTAATAATAATGACATTTCATGACAAATTTTGTTCAATACTTTCATGACAGGTGCGCAGATACCCTGAAAACACTTGTATATTAAACATAAATTTTGAAAGTGTGTTTCTCACACAAAGAAATATGCAAAGTTGCAACAGGTACGGTTCCCTGGCTTTGAACAACAAAAATTGAGGCAAAATATTTACATGAAAAAGAAAGCAGTTAAAAGGCTCAACTTCTGTGCATCACAATTACGTTCTGCTGTAAGAAGATTACTTTAGAGTCAACCTAATATCAATGAATTTAATAAATAAATGGACAATAAGATCACAATAAGAGATAACCAATAAGTCATTATTAGTTAAGATTAACTACTAGACAATAATCATGGCCCGAAAATAAAGTTTGTTATTATTTATTAATTTTAAAAAAAGCCAGCATAAAATATGAGCACTTCAATAAACATTGACCATTATTATTTGTAACACATTCTGAATATAAAAGAAATAATCAATCCTATAGTAGCCCATTTGAAAAAGTTTAAGAAAAAAAAGAGAGAACTTTTAGAAATGGCACAAGATTTAATATATCGAATAAACGTTTAGCCGTCCCCACCCCCTCGTGAAAATCGTAAATGACACTCCGACAACATTGGATACGTTAGCAGCCTTCTACAAACATAATGGGGAAAATAGCTTTCCTCAACTATTAGGTAAGGGGCCATTCAAATATTATAGATTTGCTCTTTCTTTCTGACAAGGAACGGACAAGACTCGTGTTCACCGAATTATTTCTCCTCCATTCCAAAATTTCTTTAAAATGCAGAGAAAAAAAAAATATATTACAATCTGACATTTTCAAAATAGGAAACAATTTCTTTAAAGAGTTTCAAAATTCTATAAATGAATTAAAATGTAAATTTTGTTTGCTTTATTTGAATTTAATCTCAAAATTAGATAACTACAATAATCATAATTAAAGGGAACAACATCATGATTTGCCCTTTTTTTTCACAGGCAAGGAAATAATGCCAAAAATATATGTTTACAAACATAAAAATAATAAAATTTTAAATTTTTATTAAAAAAAAATGCTTAAAAAAATTGCAGTTTAAATTTCATTTGTTGAATTCATTTCAAGTAATATTTGTTGTGTCCAAAAAATTTAGAAAAACATAGTTTCATGATAGGGACGAGACTTGTTTAACACTAGATTGCCCAACAAAGTCATTCTGACTGCTTTTTAATTTCAATTAGAAAAACAATGATGCATATAATGACACAATTTCTGAGAATTTTGTGACTTTTCGTACAACATATCATTTTTTGTTGTTAATATTTACTAATAACTTGTTATATAACTGTAAATAATATTAAAAAAATATTAAAAATTAATTTGAAGCAAATTTTTTTACACATTAGTCATTCTTTCACAGAGCAGTCATTTTGACTGCTTTTGGGCAATATAGGTATATACTAAGTTTCAATCTTTCTAGCGTTAATGACATTTCATTAAGTAATTGAATTAATTTATAAATTTCTTATATTTTTTAAGCATGAAAAGTACTTTGAATATCTAAGTCAATGAATAATTAATTATCTATCATAAAATATTAAGAAAAGGTCCTTTTTCAAGATTTTAAAGGTCCCCTTAAAACAAATGTGGTGTAGATTGCTTTTGCCTACAGACCTAATTACTTTAAACAGGTCTTACTTTTACTGAATTACTTTTTTAGGTCTTTAAACAACCAAATCAGAGAAAGTTTTTGCAAGAAAAAAAAATACCTTTTCACTTCATTAATAAAAGTGAATGTTAATTTCAAGAAGGAAAAAAAGTTGACTTTTTAAGTGGGTAGCAGGTTTTCAAAAGCGGAAAAACTTTTCTTTCATTAGAAAGAAGAGCTTTATTAAAATAAATGCTTTAAAAGTAGGAAATTGTGTTTGTTTTTCGCCATCGGTTTCAAATTGAAAGTTGCACTTTCAAATAAGTTAGGTCACTCTGAGCTGCACTTATATTACTCGTTTTAATATTTACGATCATTAAAATTAATTCAGTTTTAAGCCCACTACTCTATGATTTAATGTAAAAAAAGAACAATGAAATCCTAATTGTGCTTTCAAATAAATTCAGGCATTTATGAACTAAATCTATGATATTGACGGTTTTGATGGAATAACAGAGGAAACAAAAACTATATGAGCTACAATATTGTTTTGAAAAAAGTTGGTTAGGAATATGATATGGGGAAAACACTTAAACAGCAGTTTAAAGGTCTTAATAATCTCAAATAAATTTTTGTATTTAACAATATGTTAAAAAAAAAAATTACTAAAAAAGTCTAACATTTTTTGAAAAAATATTCAAAGTGTACTTAAATTTTAAATAAATCTTTTTATTATACCCAAAATTTAAATGCTGCCTTTTCAAAATTTTATATTTTCTCTTACTTACATATCAGTAAAAACTTATGTAAAAAAATTAAGATCAAGGGGGGGGGGNGGGGGGGGGGGGGGGGGAAGCAGCTTACGCTCATTTTTCACAAAAACAGCAATAGATTGCAATTTTGAGAAATACTGAGATTTGCTCAATCAATAATATGGAAAATCAGTTCTCCCCGAGTGTTTTTAACTAGTGACGATGGACCGGGAAAAATGGCTCCGTCCACTTTGAATTTTGTTTCTTTTTCTTCTTCTTAAAATCAGTTTTCATGAACATGAACTGTCCTTGATTTTAAAATAAATTACGTTACACTATAAATAAAAGTCTTCTTTCTTTAATCACCTTCATAAGTTGAAGGCAATGTAAGTGTCATAGAAGTTTTAAACAAAATTAGGTTTAAAAACTCTGGGATAAAATACAAAAGGATGTAAGTCACTAACAATGCTATAATTGGTTGATTATGAGTTGAATAGCTTATTGGTTAAGTAAAAAAAAAAAAATAATAATAATCCCCTTGACACAACAGTCACTTTACACACACAAAAGGAATGCTTTTCAACATACTCACTGGTTCATCACAAATTAATAATAAGTAAAATTAGATCTATAGAATAAATCACAAGAGAACCTCATCTTCAAATTTACACAACAGCTAAGAAAGGAGATCTGGAAAAAAAAAGGGGGGCATGAATTAAAACTTATATTTATACACACAGTCAAACATCTGTTACTCAAATGTCTTTTATAGTTTTTTCATTAGGTTATATGTCTTTTATAGTTTGTATATAGTCTATATAGATATATATGTCTCTTATAGCTAAACTATATATAAACTATATTCACTTTTAAATATATAAATTGCCAAACTATATGTCTTTTATAGTTTGTATATATTATACTAGTTTGTTATAGGTTGGCACTGGCTCCAACTCCTCGGACGAAGAGTTAATTTCAGAGCGGAGGAAAGAGGAGAAACGTCTCCGTACTTGAAATTGAAACAATCCTTAATGTGCACGAAACACAAACAAGAGAATTCTTCTTCGGTCACTCACTTTGCTTTGTCACTTGCTATTATACCTTTCGTTACTCTAGCTCAGTGTTTCTCAAACTTATGAGTTTTGTGTACCCTTTCTAAATTTTTTGTAACGCTGTGTACAACTAATTCAAAAATGAAATTATTTCTTACAATAAAAAAATTGCACAAAAGTTAAAAATCACAACTGGCTGTTAACACCACTAATTATTAACTGTTAACTCGGCACAAAATAGCCAATAGTAAAATATGTCATCGTAAATTTATATGGCTAGCTTTGTTTTTAAATAAAATTGTTTTAAATTTTGGTTTGTTGTAAGATGTTTCGCATAAGAACGCTTACCCCCACTTAACTGTTCCCATACCCCTGGGGGTACACATACCACACTTTGGGAAACACTGCTCTAACTAATTAAACATATTTTAGATTTAAAAACTGCTGTTTCCCCAGCAAAATGTCTCAAAAAGGACAAACTATTCACTCAAAAGAGAGAAATATCATCTAATTTATGAAATATTCAATGTAAAAAAATGCACATTAAGATTGCATATGACTCCCATCACCTTTTAATAGAGTGAAAGCCCTTGTCGTACCTAGAAATTCTGAAGAAAAAAAAAACAACTATAAACACTTACAACAAGTATTGTTTTATACCACATTGCAATAGTTTAATATTTAAAGCAATATTTTTAATGCACTAAAACTAGAAAAATGACAAGATTGATGCAAAGCCATCAAACGTGATGATAAAAAAAAAACATCGTGAACTGTTTGAAACTTTATTATTTTGCTACAAAGACCATTTTACAGTACTTAGTAATATTTTAATTTTATAGGAGTGTTTTGCTTTTGATTAAGCTTCTCCAAAAGAATCATTCATTAGGCTTAACCCACTGGCGGTTTAGCATATGGGTGAAATTGGGAGACCAATACACTATTTTCCTATCAAATAACACGGAGAAACCAGTTTAGCATTGCAGAAAAAACTGCAGGTGAAAATACTACCTTTTACTTACAAAACCGTCAGTGGGTTAATTAAAATGCCCTTTAGGTTACTGCCTTTTTTTATTCTTTGAAATAAAAGGATTTCATTCTTAAAGAGTAATCGGCTATAGGCTATTTCTTTTTCATTAAATGACCTATTTCGTTTCGTCTGCTTTAACTTCTCCATCTAAAACATATGCACTTTTGTTTTTTACTTAATTAAAATCGAAATTTCAAGAGTTTCCATTTATTTTTGTGTAGTTGGCCTAGAAAAAAAAATAAAGAAAGAATTAAATGAAAGAGGCTTAAAATTGTTTGCATCTCTTTTATGAGTAATTAAATAAAATAATTTTTGAAGAAAGTAATAAAATTAAAAAAAGAGAGAAATTTTTTGAAAAAATTATAAAAAGTTATTTCTTGAAAAACTTTTAATCTAAAATCTTATACTGCAGGGAGGGAAATAATAAACAATGCCAACCTTCATCTATGAAAAGGTGCCCCATCATAGAATCGAGTTAACATGTCTTATATACTAGTGAAATGGAATTGTGATTTTGTAGTGGTAGATACACTACAGTACTCCCCCACCAGAATTATGGCTGTGATAGAATTCAATGAACGGATACTACTAGTTGATTCATTTCTGTTTTGTGAGAAGCCGGGTGAGCTGTATTAAGATCCCTGTACTTTTGAATGCTGATGATGAGAGTTGTATTAAGTTCATGGTCGTGGTCCATTTCCTCTATGTGTAATAAAACCAGCTTGAAATTTTTAAAAACGATTCATACTTTAATGTATATTATTAGTAAAAATAAACAAACAATAAAAAAAAATTAATTTACTTCAAAGGATATTGAAAAAAAAAGAGTGCAAATTAGGAATGTAGTTTCAATTTTTTTCGTTGCATTTATCAATTTACTTTTTTTTGTTGAATCAATGACAAAAAATTTCTCAGTAGGAGGGAAATCCAAGGAGGGGGAAAAATTATCCAAAATATTTCAAAAATCATGTTTCAAATTTGTTACATTAATTTCTTGAAATTTTAAAAAAAACAATTTCTATAGTTCATTTATTGTCACTAAACCAGCAACTTTTAAAACAAAATTTGCAATTTTAAAAAGGAAAAATTTTAAAATCTTACTTCATTTTAATTCAAGAAAAAGTAGTACTTTATTTACGTTATTTTTTAAAAATCCAATGGAATATATACACACACACTAAAATAGAAAAAAAATTTGCTATTTTTTTATTTTGTAAATTGTGTTTTAATCTTATTTTGTGAAATGCATCTTTCAAACATACTTCTTAGCTAATAACAAAATGACATTTTAAAATACAACTTTCGTGCCCAGTTAATTACTTTGAATAAATTCAATATTGCACAATAGGAAAATAATTACAAATTAATAATTATTTATTTTTGTAGTTTTTTACAGAAGTTTCAAGAACAAAAAAAAAATCTAAAAATAAATAAATAAGGGGTTAAGAATAGTGTAAAAACTTAAGATTCTAGATCCTAAATATTTCCATATCCTATCTGGGATCAAACCATTAAGTGAAAAATTTTGAAACAGTTCTTATTTCTATGTATAGACCAGCTTACTTATAACACTTTAGAATGACAAAATTGATATTTTTGAATAAAAATACATCAATTCTCAAACCAAATGTCCTGCTTTGCCTGCATTATATCAAAAAGTTAACACGATTTTGTCAAAAATAAGACTAAAATAGAACTCCTTTGTAAAAACAACATCATATGACAAGTTTTGTTTCGGTTAATTCCAAGGACGTGGATTCTGCAGTCATAAGTAGTCCCTGTCTCTATTTGAGTCCCGTGAAATTAGTTTTGCTTAAAGTTATGATTTTTAAAAATTCAATTCAATATTGAACATACTGAGTTGATTTTCGAGAGTTTTAAGTTAAGTTTCTAGACAATTCAAAAGTACACAATTAATTTCACATGATTTTCAAAAAAAAAAAAAAAAAAAAAAAAAAAAAAAAAAAANAAAAAAAAAAAAAAAAACATGCGAAATCAACAGTGCTAACTGTGGAAAAAAAAGCAGATAAAAACACCAAAATGTAATTACTCAAATGTGGGATTCATATTTCCTAATATTGTATGAAAATATTGGGATAGATTTAAAGATTTGCATTTTTCTGACAAAAAGATTGTATACAGAGTTGTGTAATATGCTAGCTGTAGTGCTTGTATATATTTTATCAAGTTTTAAGCAAGATCAAGATGTTTTGTTATCTTGTAAACAATGCAGCTATGTAGAATCTTTAGGGCAAAGTTTGGTAGATTTGTCTGAGGGGACAGACTGCTGAAAATATGATTGATAATCGCACGAAATCAGCCGAATCTATACTCGTCCAGTTAAGTAACGGGGCGACGTCGGGTGTTCACTGGAACTGATAACAAACCATGCTTGTGAGAGCAAGTTTTCCACTTGTGAGTTACTAGTCAACTCTTTACCTATTTGAACAATAATTTATGCAAGATGCTTAATAGCTTGTTGACGATGCCTATTCTCGATGTCGAGAACTCCGAGACTCGACCAGAAGGCTCTCTCTTCCTTTCTTTAATATTATGTAAGATTCTTCCGGAGTCTTTGTCCTGGACTTGATTGTGTGTAGCTATTAGTATGTTAACTTTTTCAACNTCTTATATACTAGTGAAATGGAATTGTGATTTTGTAGTGGTAGATACACTACAGTATTTTTATATATAGTATTACACTATTTGTATTTTTCTGACAAAAGGATTGTATACAGAGTTGTGTAATATGGTAGCTGTAGTGCTTGTATATATTTTATCAAGTTTTAAGCAAGATCAAGATATTTTGTTATTTTGTAAACAAGGCAGCTATGTAAAATCTTTAGGGCAAAGTTTGGTAGATCTGTCTGAGGGGACAGACTGCTGAAAATATGATCGATAATCACACGAAATCAGCCGAATCTATACTGAATATATACTCCTCCAGTTAAGTAACGGGGCGACGTCGGGTGTTCATTGGAACTGATAACAAACCATGCTTGTGAGAGCAAGTTTTCCACTTGTGAGTTACTATTCAACTCTTCACCTATTTGAACAATAATTTATGCAAGATGCTTAATAGCTTGTGGACGATGCCTATTCGCGATGTCGAGAACTCCGAGACTCGACCAGAAGGCTCTCTCTTCCTTTGTTTAATATTATGTAAGATTCTTCCGGAGTCTTTGTCCTGGACTTGATTGTGTGTAGCTATTAGTATGTTAACTTTGTCAACTAATCATTTGTAATTTATCTCGTGTTTCACGGTCGTCGAGTAAATATTTATTTTTGCAGGAGTTTGTATCCCGTGTTTATTCTTTGTAGTCGCAGAAAGGATCTATCAATTTCCATGTCATATTAAAAATTAATTCGATATAATTGTGGGCGAATATATCGCATTGATTAAATAATTCTTCTGTAACAAATCAAAATTTGCAATAAAATTGTTACTTTTTAAATTTCAGAAAACGAGAAAAAGAGCCATTTTTTTCCCCGAGTGAACAATCTTTTAAATCTTTGCCATTTTAGAATTATTTTTTAGATTATTCAGTTTATACTTTTGTGTTTGACTCATTAGTTACTTAATTCTAGCTGATATTATTATGGAACATATTTTTGCATCACGAAATTTATCCAAAGTTGTGTTCTTCTCTAACAAATTCATGTGAAAAAGTTATCACACATGAATGAGAACTTTATAGGAAGAAAAAAAAGAGGGTTCTGGTAAGAGTCAAATAAATTTCTTTTTAAAGAGATTTTGCGTAATTAACAAAATATAAATTTTAGATTAGCGGAACTCCATGAAAATTTTTTTGGAATTTAAATTATTCATTTGATGAAGTCCATTAATCAACGAAAGTGTTTTAACAAATGTGAGTAATTGATCAATTTTAACTTAGCTGAAGTAGAATTATTGTAACCTATTTTTATGGGCACCATTATGTTAGTAAATAAAGGAAACACACGTCAGTGAATAAAAATTTTATACCCAAAGAGACTAATTTGTTTTTGTTCAAAGCTCATAAACAAAATCATATCAGTTTTAAACAGAAAATGGGATACTTAGCTAACTTATTAAAAACATTTTAAACAATGGGTATAAATGAAGTACCAGTGTCATGCACTTATACTAAAACCTAGACCAGCGTAAATCCATAGGAAATATTTAGAACCCCTCAGAAAAATGAGCTTTTCTGGGCTTATTTTGCCCCCTTCTTCGACAAACGCAGTGGATCTCCGGTCCTCATTGCAATCTGTTTTAACATGAAAAGGTTTTAAAGAGGATCCAATTTGATGCTCTATGCAACTTCTGTGGTTACACAGGTTGCCTCTCAAATGAGGAAGAAAAAAAAAATTCCTGTGTTTTCCCTTTACATATTATACACACTATATTAAGAGGAAACAATTACTGTGCTCCTGTGTGAGCTATAGTAGACTAACAATATTTATTAGTTTTAATTGCAGGAAAAACAGATGAACATGCTTAAATAATGATATAGTAAATGAAACAGTTTAGTACAGCTGAAATATCATGGTTAAATATCCCATAGATTACACTTTGAGTGGTCACCATTTTTTAAAACACAAAAATAAGAAACAAAATTTCCTGTATTTTACCAGTTTGCAAAGAACGATTCAAAATTCCCTGCATTTTCCAGGTTTTCCCTGTGGAGGGGCTCATAAACCCATTCACCCTTTTCTCTTGAACAAGACCATTTTGTAATGGCATAGGTTTTTCAGCACAGGGTCGGTTTTATATAATGTCTGTTTTGTTGTCTTTTACAAATTTTGATCACAGAAAATTTCCATTGATTAGCAGGATTTTTCCCAATACCTAAAATTGTTTTGACTGTCTCAGCCGAGGTAGCCGAAGCTATGGACAAGTTCAGTTTGTCCCAAGTCTTACACACAAACGCATCAACAAATTAAGTGTTGTTCAAATGAGAAAGAACTGTACCTGGAATTGCAGATGATGAATTTCTTTGTAAGGAGGAGGTGTCTTCAACTATATTTGAATTGAAGTCATCTACATTGATCAGGAAATTGTCATTATTTACACTATTATTGTCCAAATGGTGAGGTTGTTGTAAGTCTACCAATTTTGTGAACTCTGAAGAGCTTCTCAGCAACTCACAGCTGCTTTGTATGTCTATTAGTAATTTGTCTGCATCTGATTTCTCTTCTTCTGGGCTGAAGTACATAAAACAGGAATCAATTTTAAAAGTAAGAGACTGCGGACAAGGGCACATTTTAGTATATTCAAATCCACGACTTAACAAAGTTACTATTTTCTCCCAGACAATAAATTTAAAAAAGCATTATACATAACATTCATTGACATGATAGGTATAACCAAAACTGTTATACATCCTCATATTTATAGATTTTAAATTTAAAAAAAAAGAAAGAATTGAAGCAATAAAATAGCTGAAAAAAATACAAAACGCACAATAATTTTACATTTTAATAAAATATGACTGTGTGTGGGAGTTGGTGGCAAATTCAGATACTCGGAACACCGTGAAATTGATAAAAAATAAGATTTTTTGTCGACCTAAATCCATAACTTGTTAGGATTTATTTTTTTTTTTTAAATAGTTAAAATCATGTCAAATTTTGTTCAATACCGCATTTCGTAAATAAATTTTTTATCGCATTTCGTAAATAATCATCACAGTAAAAAAATAATTAAAAATCATGAAATCTGTAGCAGTAATTACCGAAAAAAAGATCGACGACGAAATCACGCGAATCGGACACCTTAAATGTGTTTACATTAGAATGTTCTAATAAATAATATCGCATTTAAAAACTACAGAGAAATCAATAGCACTAGCTTCCAAAATTTCAATAGAGTTATTGCCTTAAAAAGTAAATTCTCAAATGCACAATTCAAATTTTCCATAATGTATCGAGACATTAAAGATCCATGAGAAAATCAATATCAATAACTGCCGAAAATACAATCGAAACATTACATCGATTTACGATAATATCGGCGTTAATTGAGCGTGTCAAAAAGTTACTATCTAAATGCATGATTTAAATATTAATTTCTGTAGAAAAGAAGAATTTTTTTTTAAAACTTTTCAAAAAAAAAATTCTTTCTGCAAGAACACCGACAAACGTTCTGTGACAATGGCGCCGTGACTCTGCCACGGGGCTTATTCTACAGAAAATACATCGCTAATGAAAAGTTATGATTAAGAAATGCGCCAGTTGAATTTCATGTGCAATGAAATAGTAAAACAAAGGAAGACTTTTTTTTCTTCTTTAGTTTCTTTTTTGATTTTTCTCCTACTCAGATCATCAAATAATAAGTTACACACATTATTCCATCTCATTACTTTTCTCAGTGCCGGATTAAGCGTACTCTGGGTCCTAAACTAAACTAAACTCAGCGGCGCGACAGCCCATAGAGGGCCATGGCCTACTGTGCCCATCTCAGTTTTCTTGACCTTGGGCTCTGGGGTGCATGAGCAGATGTTCCGGTCAGGTGATCAACCGAACGCGGAACCCCCAGTGTTTAGTTCCCAAGCATGCTTGGTACTCATTTATCGACCCACTGAAGGGATGAAAGGCTG